AACCCCTCTTATGTATTTAAAAATTCCAACTGTCTCTTTTTTGTACACTATTACCTTTAAAACTTCCTCACTACTCACATGTTCTGGCTATAGTAATCTCATCATGCTTCTGTAGAATCACATTTCTGCTGCTTGAAGTCTATTCTAAATTTGCGAGATTTTCTAGTATTCACTACCATAGAAATTGTCTGATATAACATTGTATCTGAACACACTTTTTTTTGTTTCTAACGAAAATTTCCTGCTTCTTAATATTTTGCTTAGCTTTTGGAAGGCATATTTAATAATAAAAGCAACAACAACAACAACAACAACAATAATAATAATAATAATAATGATAATAATAATAATAAGACCTTGAAATAGAAATCTCGAAAATGTGGCATATGGGAACATCAACAATCCATGTTGTAGTTGGAGCCCTAGGACTGGTTGGAAAAGATTGCAATAGACTAATTGAAGGGATTCTTGGAAGTCCATGCCTCAAGGAGATACAAAAAATTGTTCTGACAAGTACAGCCCACACTTTACGAAGGGCTTTATCTATGTAATTTTTTTTCTGTCAGTGGAAAGTGTCATGATGCCATTTCTAACCTTAGGTCCCTGGGCGGGATCCGGAAAGAAATGTGTAAACGCCAGAAATCAAAGAAAATAATAATTATAATAATAACAGCCTGAAGATTCGAAATGAATTTAAAGAATAAATTGGATAAAATGAAGGTAGCCGGCATGGACATCGTTACTGGCGCACTTGGATGAGTCCAGAAGAACCTTACAAAACGATTACAGGAATTAGAAAATGAAGAAAATTCAGAACTTTTCCAATGACAGAATTACCAAAATCAACTAGAAAACCGAGTAGAATGCTGCAGCATTGAGGATACTTGCTGTTACTTGATCTACAATTTAAGTCACCAGTTAATACTGATGATAAACGTTATGGCAGAAACAGCATATTTACGATTTGAGGTGAACGTGCAAATATAGTAAAATAAAATGGTTTATTCTTGTTGCCCCCGGAACAAAACCTGTTACACGCAGCTACCAAACATAATTGTAAGGGACCAAAATGTAGGTTGTGTGACCAATAAATTGAAACGTTTAATTAACTTATTTCAGGAGACTCAATACTCACACCTGGTGAGTACAAAATACGTCATCTCAGGGTAGGTCAATATCTCCATTGCAACATCTGTCATCACTACGAGACTGGTATGAACATCATCCTGAACCTGTTGTTGAGGAAGAATATGTTACCATCCTCTGAGATCTTTATACTGACACAGATCGAACAATACAAGCAAATCACTCAGACATTATTATTAAAGACAAGAGAAATGCATATTGATTTACATGAGCGTACTAAATGATATAAACATTACCCGACATCTGATTATAAAACAAAATGTAGGTCAAAATATTTTTTATAATAATAATAATAACCGTTTGCGAATAAAGAAGCAAAGGCTAAACCACATAATCACTAAATGTATAAGCTGGCTCAAAAAGAAAATAAAAGCAGACATGACAGGGTAGCAACAGCTATTCAAATAGAACTGTGCAAATATCTTCGTTATGGAGACAAATGGTACCAGCACCACTCAGATACTATCCTGGAAGACTGAAATCATAAAAGAGATTGCGATTTCAACACCCAAATTGGCTATTCTCATCGAGTGATGAAGAACGGATGTAATCATGGCGAAGAATAAAAAAAAAAAAAAAAAAACGCCAAAAAAAAGCAGATCATTTATTTAGCTTAGAGATATACAATAACCTTGCCTGGGGTCTGAGTAAGTTATAAGTTTAGAATCATGTTCATAACACTAGCTGCACGCGGAATTGTACCCACAACGCTGGATCAGAGATTGTAAGAGTGAGAAGTCAGGAGCAGGGTTTGAAATGTACAGACTGCGATCTGCGAAGATGATGTGAAATATGTTGGATAACTGAGGATTCTTGCTGTCACTCCTCAGCGATGATCCCCAGAAATCAGATGTGAACATGAAAAATGTATGAATTTGTTGTAACCTAGAAAAGGTTACTGAATAAGGAATAACCTGAGCAGAGATTGCAAATGGAATGGTAGTCTTTAAAACATCAACATAGTACAATACTCGCCAGCGGCGTGACGTAGATAAACCACTGCTAGTGGTGAACCACTTAGCCAGCATATTACGATGTTTACCGGCTTTCCCACGAGGTAGGATGCTAACTCGTCGGGAAGTGGGTAAATATCTCACGGCCATATTTAATATGGGGAAATCCGAGCCCCTGGGCTCGGGCAAAAATTGTCCATAGACCGTGCATACGCGGGGTCGGTTATCTGTCTACCTCCCCCCCAGACGAAACTCTGCCCTTCTGAATAGCCTTTTCTGGGTTCCTCTCTGCCCGAAGGGAGAGAGTTCGACACGGCATGAGCTGCCAACGCTGACAGCTCACGCTGACAGCTTAGACAACATATTACGATATTTACGTTTCTCCCCACGAGGTAGGGAGACCAAATTTAATGTGAGGAAATCCGAACCCGTGGGCTCCTGCAAAAATTGCCCGTAGACCCCCTCATACGCGGGATCAGGTATCTGTCTACCTCCCTGGGATCCTGCTTAAATGCAGAGTTCGACATGGCAAGAGCTTCCCATGCTAACAGCTCAGGCTGCCAGCTTAGGCAGCGTACCCCCTCCCACCATTTACTATAGTGACCAACGTGTTTATGAGTGTTGGGACATACCCATTAGTGTTCATAGGTACGGTATATAACAATTATAATAAATTGCTTCATGCTAATTCATGCTGAAATGCAGTGTTGTGAACATGTTTGAGCATAATTTCACTAGACATGAAAGTTTATACAGGAAAAGTCTTTACGTCTGATTGCTTGAAGAAACATCGTTTGTATACATTATTTTGCCGAGCCTGTGTGCAATTTATTTAGCAGCATGTAGTGTGCGAAATAAATATACGGATATTGATCTTTGCTTCTAACTTAACCTATTTCTTAATCTACAAGAGTTCCTGGTCGAGTCAAAGAAACAGTTATTTGCATTCAAAGTTTTTTCTTCAAATCTTCCCCCTGCATAGCAGAAGAAAGTTCAAACAGACCTTATCTCCCACTTTAAAAGAAAGTGGAAAACCACAAGTTGTTATTACACAATTTTTTTTTTGGCTACTAAAATATAAAAAGCTAAAACAATTTAACGATTGCAGAATATTTCCCAGTCTGAATTTATCAATGTGTAAACGAGTGCGTTAGGTTTTATACTTAACCTTACCATCCTCAAGATTTTATTAAATAGGCTTTGATTAAATTATTTTTTCTTTTTGTCGTATGAAAGCAAGTATCGAGAAAGAATTGGAGTAGGCACCGGTGAAAATGCGCGAAGAACCATATTCTAGAAATGGCAATCATTTCTGTGCATTCTGTTCAATATGTAATGGAAAACTGGACGTAAAGCGATCCTTAATATGACATTTGTTATAGAGGTCGAGATATCGCAATAAGGGATTAGATCCTAATGTTACCCCTGACCATAAAAAGCAAACATACTTATTAAATTCAATCATTTCCCTCATTTTCGGTACTTTTGTCACAAAAAAAGACGTTTTATTGGTTGATTAGTTTTGTTTAGTGACCTATGGGTTACTTAATGCCGAAATCAAAATATTTTGTACGCGATTTTATTTTACTTTTGGAGACAATAATAGTTTCAGTGATACAATTCTTACTAATTAAGGGAGAAAAAGCGGATTTATACCTTTCCCAATGTTATTTGTGTTTAAGTGAATATAACGAACCCAACCTGAATTGGAACTCGGCTCTCCAATTAAAAAAATCCAAGCCATTATCTATTACACTATGCGTACACCCAATCTTACAACACCTGGTATTCCCAATGACATTTTGCATATGAATACATACGTATATTATTATTAATGGTGGTCTTTGTTAAAGTTAACTATGCGGGTAAAAGTTTTTTTTGCTGCTACTGCCTAGGGTAGGTAAGGTGGTTTTGCTCAAGTGCTCACTCATGTAGCCTCTTCTTCTTTAGTCATAGTGGCATGCCAGTAACAAGACATTTTTGTCAATGAATCCGATGATTAGACAGAGAGCAGGGAAAAACGAAGTAGTGTTTTCGTTTATTTATTTTTGGCACAAGAGCAGTAGTGTGAAACGAAAGTTGAAAGACTCGGTAGTAATTCGAATTAACACTGACCAATTCCTTTTCTCGTAACGTTTCCTCGCAAATCTAGGTCTCTTCACATCTATCGATCTATCTATCTATAAATCTCTTCATATCTATCTATCTATCTATCTATCTATCTATCTATCTATCTATCTATCTATCTACCACACTGAAAATCTCTATATATCTCATTTGGTACATGTCTGCATGAATACACAACTACAGGTTGAACTCGTAATATTTAACTTCATATATTTTATGTAAAAGTACACGTTAGAATTGGTTATACATAAAATTACCAGTAAATAGATAAATATAAGCAAATATGGTTAAAAGGTCCAACCATTGGAAGAAGGTAAAATATAAGCAATTGGGAAGGGGCTAAGATGGTTGTGAAAAATATATACAGATTTAAAGAGTCATTGACAAAGTTATCGAGGGAGAGATAGAACGTCATATATATATATATATATATATATATATATATATATATATATATATATGGAAGATTCCTTTGGATTTTGTCGGTTTGGCTGAGAGAGGGCGCATGTGATCTGTGCAGCGCATGCCTTCCATGTACCATCGCTCAGGCTTGTGCGCCGGAGAGGTCACCCAGTTTCCCCAACAAACAATTCAATTTTGACCAGACAGGGTGTTATCTTTTCCTTGCGAGATAGACGGATGCTTACTTTATATTTATGCACGCACGCACACACACACACACACACACACACACACACACACACACACACACACACACACACACACACACACACACACACACACACAGATAGATAGAAAGGATGGAGTAAATGACTAAAATATTAAGAAAAGAAAAATCGAGATAAAAAGGAAATGGGTGATTGAATGAATTTTTTTACTGGGTCCCTCACAAACGCATGTTTTTACAGAGCTTAAAGAGAGAAAGCGAGAAAAGAGAGAGAGAGAGAGAGAGAGAGAGAGAGAGAGAGAGAGAAAGAGAGAGAGAGAGAGAAAGAGATAGAGAGCATCAAGGACAAAATTACAATAAGTAAATAAACAAAATTGCTGAAAGAAATGAAATGCGAGAAAGACTGAAAAAGAGACGGGCAAGGGGGAGAGAGAGAGAGAGAGAGAAAGAGAAAGAGAGGGATATATCACAAAAAAGTACAATAAGAAAAAAATGGTGGCAAGAGACAGATTGAGAAAGAGAGGTAAAGAGGAGAGGAAGTGAAAAAAGGAGGGAGTGAGAGAGAGAAAAAGGAAAGAAAGAAAGAAAGAAAGAAAGAAAGAGATGAAGGAGGAGGAGAAGCGCAATAAATTCCTGATTTCGAATTATGTTGTGTTCCTAAATTCGCATTCGCTTCAGCCTATGTCTCTGGTCAGTCATTATGCTGATAAATTACAGAGAAGATGGCCGACAGTTTCGATTTATAAGCAGACAAAGCAGATGTTTGCGTCTTGTCTGGCGAAAACGTGTAATCTAAAGGAAAATAAAAAGAATGGGGGGAAGGAAGGAAGGTGTTTAGCGTCGTTATAATAAAAAAAGAAGGAAAATACAATAATAACTGTTGTCCCTCTGAAACGACTCCCTCTCCAATCTACACGCACATGCGCACACCCACACCCACATACACGCGCACACACGCACATATACGCACAAAAAAATCGAACGAAAAATCAATAAAATCACGTGTGGCCCACTGTTCTTCTTCACTTACATTCTTCATTGAAAGTTTTACAGAGCGCCCCCCCTACCCCCTACCCCTTCCATTTCCACTTATCGCTCGGTTATCCGATCTTTGTAGATTGATTGTTTAATATACCATTAGTTCGTACTAGTTGACCTCACTACACGCATCCCCCACCACTCACATATACCTACACATGCACATGATCACAGTAGATTAAAGAGCCTAAATTAACAATCAATCCACACACATGCAGATATATATATGTAAAGGCATACATTAAGACCAATGTATGTCTTTAAGTGTGGACGCGGAATTCCAGTAGATCCACATTCTCCCCCCCCCCGCCACAGGCGCGCGCACACATACACACATATACACATACACAGACACGTATATACATTTATATATGAACACAAAAACACTGGAGTCTTAGGTAGTAGACCTACATAGACATTATCCATGTTATTTTTTTTTATACTTTCATCCCAAGCAAGGCGATATTGCCACTAAGACGCGAGGGAGTTACTGGGAGTGAAAGAGAGTGGGAAGACTTTAGTGAAGGGAAAGGACAATAAAAGAATAGAAGACAGCGATTAGTGTTGCAATTAAAATTTTGAAGATTGTAGGTGGCAGGGAAGAAATCGGAAGGCAGTTCCACAGGTGAGAAGTACAAGAAAAGAAATTATTAGAATAGAACGTACGGTTGCATCTAGCTAGTTAATCAGTAAAACAGTGAGACCTAGTTGCCAATCTAGTTGTACGCTTGAAATCGTACAGACGAGACACCAAGGAAGAAAGCCTATCAGAATAATTGCCATCAAAATATTTGTAGAAAAGATCAGGTCGGTGAGAAAGTGACTGAAATTTGAGATGTCAGATCACGGTCGATTACATTACAGAAGCTTCTTTGAATGTAGCGTTAATAATAATAATAATAATAATAATTCTCAAAAATCGAAAAAGTCTTGAACATTAAGATATCAATAATTTCAGTTGGGGTTGAAGTCCTCAGTTTGATTGGAAAAAGGTTCTGTTAGACTCATTGAAGCAATCCCTGGTACCCCATGTTTTAAAGAAATACAAAAGATTGTTCACAAATGTACAGCTCGCACCTTACAAAGAGCTTTCTCTATGTAAAATGTGTGTGAGCTTCGGTTGTTTTATTTTTATTTTTACGAAAATGTTCAGTGGAAAACGTCATGACGCTAAGCCATGACGTCTGACCTTAGGTCTCTTGTTGCGACCCTGGAAGAAAATATGTATAGAACAGAAATTAAATTTAAAAATATTTGCTGCTCGTTTCTGAGTATAGCTGTCTACGAGAATGTCTCTGTTTCCTATTGCCATTCAGGCAAGTTTGTGTTGCTTAAAAAGCAACAGAGCCAACCTGTGGTTTATGCTCTAACTTTGCTGAGTGGACTTTCAGTCAATTATGTGCTATGCGTGATACACGCTTAGGCGATCATGTATCTTTCGATACATGACTGACGAGACAGATTTTTTTCCCGCAGTAGGTTGCTATTTCTGTCTGCGGTAGACCAGTTGCCATTCAAGGCTATAGAACCCGGTCTGTCCTGCTATTTAACCATAGTTGAGGAAAAAGAAGAGGATTCATACCTTTCCCAAGGGTATTAGCACGTAAGTGAATGTAATGGATTCGATTGGAATTCGAACTCGGCTCTCCGATTCCTCAATCCGAGCCGCTATCCATTATTTCACCGTGCCTCCTTCTGAAGTGGACTTTAGCTACAGTTTATGTGTGTGTGTGTGTGTGTGTGTGTGAGAGAGAGAGAGAGAGAGAGAGAGAGAGAGAGAGAGAGAGAGCATAATTTGGCGTGATCAGTTGTTGAATAAAGCCAGTAAGTTCGATCACTATAACTTGTGACTTCATCCTGGCACAACCATAGATAATTCTGGACTTTCTTCTACATAATTCCACTCACAAGACACGGGGTCAGCCAGTGGTATGGTTTTCAGACATCTCTTAACTCACCTTCTTGACAAATCGGCCACGTTAATGTGCCAACCAGGTGGGCCACGCATTCAGATGTCTTCGCGCTGACATGCCAATATACGCCGCTATTATCGTCATACGCCCTTTCACGTGATCTTTCTCAAACACACGAGTAGTCTGTATGTCAGATGTAATATTTAACGTTGACGCATTAACTCTCTCACCTATACAAATCTATGGCTTGCTCCCGTTTCAACCAGGACACACACACACACTGCCCCCCCCAGTCCTCATTTTCCAGTCTTGATAGAGTTCAAAAACGTCTCCGAGTCCTTGTAGGAGAAGAATTATTTTCCATTCTCTAACCTCTCACTTTCACAGGCGGGATGTGGAGAGGCTCTCACTACTCATTCTTTGGTTCCGACAGGTCTAACCATCACGGCTAGGAATCGCCATGCCACTCACATCGTATCAAACCACCCATATTCACCCCATATTCCATAGGTGATAAGTAAGTTCAACTCGAACAGCTCTTCCCGCAAACCATTTCCTCGATCACTATAATCTTAACCTGTTCAAGTAGAGTTAACCGATATCTTCCCCGCCTGTCTGTATAAACTACCTCTGGACGTAACTTTCAACATCGAGTGCTCCCCGGGCCTTATACAGAGTGAACCTTACCCTAAAAGAAATATAGTTTCAGGAAACAGCGTTTCTTGTTCGAAGTTAAGCGGCTTCGTATCTGGTCAGTACTAGATGGGAGACCGGTTGGGAACACCTGGTACTGTAAGTAATTTCATGCATCACGAAATACGTTTCGGCTATAAATAACCCACAAAGGGTTGATAAGTCGTAAAAAAAACAAATCAATCAAATAATCTCTGAGTCAGAACAATGACCTACAAAGGCTACTGCTCACATGCAGTTGCAGCTAAAGCATGTACAGTTCGTACGCCCTGTTCAAATTCCTCGAACTCGATAGCACCTGGTATATATAATAAATGCCAGCTTATATTTATTGTTTTTTTTACTACAGTTCAACTTATACAAGGCCCAAGGGTCACGCAAACTAGAGTGTCACTGAAGGTGGTTATTATGTGAGTGGCAATAGTAAGGGGCACAGTTTATGCGATATGTGTGAAAGATAACGATTAACCCTAGACTTGAAGAGGCTAAGTTTGCAGTTGTCGAGAAAGCATCCTCCTGGGATTCTGTTTCACAAAGCAAGACTTGGGAAGAAGCCACCCGAATAGATGTTTCGCATTGCGTTTCCTACTGATTAAATATTGACCATATTGTGATCATTTACATAACTAATTATCACATTTCATAGCAGGGGTTCTGAATGAGAGATAAATAGGTGAGAGTAATTTAAAAAAATGGCCGTGCTAAAATTTGCAGGTAACTCAAATTTTTGTTCTTTTCTCTAATATATATATATATATATATATATATCAGGAAATTTTTCTCCCTGGAATCGATCCTTCAGATTTACAAATCAACAATTCGCCCTTGCATGGAGTATTGCTGCCATATATGATCTGGAGCCCCTTCTGTTTGCCTCGGGGTTCTTGATAAGCCCCAGAGGCGGATATGCAATATAATTGGCCCTGTTCTGGCATCTCGTCTACAGTCGCTCTCTTACAGACGCACCGTCGCCTCTCTCTCTTTTTTACAAATACTTTCATGGTAATTGCTTCGAGGAGCTGCATTCGCTGGTTCCCAGACTTCATGAGTTCAAGCGCCCTACGAGGCTGGCATCCCGCTCTCACCCTTTCACTGTCGAAACTATTAAATGTAGCCGTCTCTTCTACTCCAATAGCTTCATGTCTCGCACCTCTCGCCTGTGGAACTCCCTTTCCTATTCCAATTTCCCTGATAGCTATAATCTCCAACTATTCAAGTGTAATGTCAATAGACATCTCCAGTTGTCTTGATCTATCCACTACCCTCCTCCTCATCCTTTCCTCTATAACTCCCATCTGATCTTGCTCCAAATCTTCTGTAACCCCTTGCGTCCTAGTGGCTTCCCACCTTGCTTGGGGTGAAAAGCTTAATATATAATATATATATATATATATATATATATATATATATATATATATTATAACAGCAACTTCTCTTCACTATATACCGTTAATTTTTGACATCGAATTCTTACATTCTTTCCGTATTTGGAACAATGACGAAGCCACCCAAAGAAACCAGATTGAAGATGGCCAAAAATATGACCCAGTGGAGTGTTGCAGATCAGCCAAGATGCAGTTTCCCTCGAAATTTGTAGCATATGGTGGTATGGAAACTTGCCAGAATAGCAAAAACATAACCAGAGATAATTACAAGGCAAGTGTTAGATGAGTACGACTTGTTAAATTTGGTGTCAGTCTTCTTTCGAGAACCTAGACCAAGAACATTTTCACACTGCTTGCTTTGTATACAAGTGTTATAGTTTCTTTGCGTGGAACTTGTATAAATATTTGTATTTTGTATCACCCCTATGCAAAGCAGTAAAGCCATTAGGACACAAGGGGTTGGAAGAATTAGGAACAGAAACATTAATGAGTGGGAAGAGAAAAGAGTAATGAGAAGGAGGACAGTAGATGACAACTGGCATTGCATATAATTTTTTGCAGATTAAAATTGGCTGGAAATCATGGAACCGAAAGGGCGTTCCACAAGCGAGGAATGTGAGAAAATAAACTGCTAACATAGAACGTACGACAACATCTAGCCGGCTCAACTGTAAGTTGGTGAGATCTAGACGCTAGTCGAGTACTGCGCTTAAATTAAAAAGTTTAGGAACCATTACTAAGAGCTCATCTGAATAATTACCATGAAAGTATTTAATGAATTGACACAGAGGTATGTAATTTTGTACATGTTTTAGCAATATAAAAATCTTTTTGAGAACAAGACATGTTGTTTTTCCTTCTCTTTCAGCTATTCAGCTCCGTCCGTGTATTAAGGTGTTACTATATCGGATATAATAATGGCTTTCTCTAAGAGAGAAAACCGTTCATCGTAATAGGTGAAAATTCAGGGTCCGCTCGGTGATGATGGAACACCATTAGTTTGATTTCCAAGGAATATTAATGCAGATATATGCGTATGTATGCATATATATATATATATATATATATATATATATATATATATATATTTATTTTTCAGATTTTTTCAGCTTTTGGAAGTAAAGTCTGATGATCCAGAACTCTGTTAAAGGGGTTATGGTGAAATAGCTTATTACATGGAATCTTAACGTGGTCTGTCTTTTATTCAAATATATATATATATATATATATATATATATATATATATATATATATATATATATATATGTGCTTGCACAATGTCACAAGTCATTGTGACCGAGGATATGAGCATAATGTCATTGTAAAAAAAAAAAAAATAATTATGTTAGATTATGCGATTTCTCCCGGAAACTGTAACTAAGGTCTGCTTAGCATAGTTGCAGTATAAACCACAGTGTTGGTTGAGTGGGTCTGTTATAAGGATTTGTGTCCGGAAAACGTGTAGCCAGCCATTATATATATCTATATATAAGTATAATGATAATAAAAAAACGGAGACTTTAATTATCCATTTCGATTATAATTTATTTCGTGAACACCGAGGTCTTCAACTCTTCAGATCGAAATCTCCTCCGTAAATGGAGAAAATAGACCGAATGGGCACATTATATTGGTAGTGGGGAGAGAAGGTGGGAGAGAGGAAATTAAAGGGCTAAGGGATTAGTGGTTTGTAGTAGTCGGCTCACCCAGTCGGTGTACACGAAATAAATTGTAATCAAAATGGATAATTAAATTCTCCGTCTTCTTATCATTATAATGCACTGCAGACTACATTGAGCTCTCTGTGGATTTATATCCTCCTCGGAATTATCCCTTCAAGTCACAAACTGGTAATACGTATATTTATATTTATATATATATATATATATATATATATATATATATATATATATTCGTATAAAAGGGTGTGTATATGTATGCATGCATATGTGTGAGTGTGTACATGGTTAACGCGAAATTCAGAGTTACTATATATGTTTATGTGACTGTATAATTTTAATGCGAACTCTTGTGGATCGTCACGCACGTACACTCGCCCACACCCATGGTAACTTTCTAAGATTAACTTAGATGTGTCACAAGTGTGGGGCACCCAGTGAACATCGAAACACTACTCAGTAGTAATTGTTGAAGCGAGACAAGCTTGCTAACCATTATATCACGCCGAACCTGCCCCATACGCATGATGAACGCACGCATGCGTATAACTACGTTTATTATAACCACAAGAAATGGCACATGCAACCACCCATCAATGTTAATCATTTATTTCGGCCTTAATATTTCGTTTTTTGTTTTATATATATTGGCGCTGAATGCCGTAATATTATTTTTTTCTCTTTTCTTATACAATTATGATCTTTCTCTTTGTGAAATCAGCCGGCCCCAAGTTTAATAAATAATCAGACAACACGTAAACCACCGAAAAGAAAAGAAAAAAAAAATCCTTTATAGAAAAAATACCAAGATAGATTAAACTGCCTTTCAAGAAAGCTTTGACAATTACTGAAATAAAATCGCTTTTTCGCAAACAAACTTACGTATTTTGTACATTTGCTTGTGTTCTATGCCATCGTAGGGTTAATGAGAATCTATGTGAATTCGTGTTCCCTATATTAAGCTAACAGGTCTATGATCTGAAAAAAACATTTTATGTTAATTCAACCGCAAAGCGTAATATGAAAACCGAAATTTATATAATGTGTTGGTTATGTGCATCAACAGTAATTTAGTTTGCACGATATTTTGCATTAATATTCAGATTAACGTTTAATATTCAAATTAACGAGTAAACTTAATTCTTAAGCATTGCCGCGCTGACATGAAACAAGGCCACGATCATGGAGCACTCGTTGTTAGCAAAACTACTGTTACATTTCGCTCTGCGATTAAGTCTCAGCAAGGATGAATATTTAAATATTTAATTCTCAACCTTGGAAATGGTGCGAGAGAAATAGAGGGAAGGGAAGAAAAATATTTTACAACAACAAAATATATATATATATATATATATATATATATATATATATATATATATATATATATATAGAGAGAGAGAGAGAGAGAGAAAAAGCTCTGTGACAGCCGGAAAGTATGATATTGTAATTTACTTGGTTGTAAACAATGAAGTTGAAGAATCAGTAAAATAGAAACAAAAGGAAAAAGTGTGAAAGGAAACTGAACGAAAGAAGTTCAATTAAGAAATTTGAAAAGGAAGAGGATAGGCAGATAGATAGATAGATAGATAGATAGATAGATATGAACAGCCTGAGATAGATAGATAGATAGCTATGAGCAGACTGAGATGGATAGATAGACAGCTATGAACAGACTGAGATAGATAGATATGAACAGACTGATATATATATATATATATATATATATATATATATATATATATATATATATAGATAGATAGATAGATAGATAGATAGATATGAACAGACTGTGATAGATAGATAGATAGATAGATAGATAGATATGAACAGACTGAGATAGATAGATAGACTGATATGAACAGACTGAGATAAAATAGATAGATAGATATGTATAGACTGACATAGATAGATAAATAGATATGAACAGACTGAGATAGATATGAACAGACTGAGATAGATAGATAATGAGCAGACTGATAGATAGATAGAGAGATAGATAGATGATATGAACAGATGAGATAGAGATAGATAGATGAGATGATATGAACAGACTGAGATAGATAGATAGATAGATAGAGATAGATAGATAGATATGAACAGACTGAGATATGATAGATAGATAGATAGATAGATAGATAGATAGATAAATATGAAACTATAACAGATTGAGATAGATAGATGAAAGATACAGAATTATTGAGCGGTCCCGTTCATCAGACTGATGGTTGATAGATAGATAAATGATAAGATAGATGACACACAATACAAACATAAAACTAAGATAGATAGAAATGAAAAAAAAGAAAGATTTAGATAGAAAATACGATTGTATAACGATGAACAGACTGAGGGATAGCAATTTCTGTATATCATACATGGAGATAGAATAGTAAAAAATACAACATAAAAAATTATTGAAAAAAAATAGATAAATTTATTAAATAGATGGAGTAAATAATAATGACATAATATCGAGGACTAATGATTTAAATATTAATTACATAATTAAAAGATAGATAGATAGATAGATAGATAGAAAGCAAATAATGGACAATTAGGATAGATAGATAGATCAGAGCAGATCAGATAGCTCAAATGTGGAAAGAAAATAGATAGATCGAAGATACTTTTTAACAAAAAAAAAAAGCCAAAAGGTTTTGAGATAGATAGATAAATGTGGGGTAACATATTTTAAAAAAATATAATTTTTACCAAAGACTAAAAAAAAGATTTGGATATTGATTTGTGAATAAGTCCTGAAAACAGCTATGAAAAAAAACGCATAAAAAAAACTATGTTATTTTGAGATAGAAAGACGATAACCAAAAATTTGAACAGAAAATATTAAAAACAAAAATAATTAAAAAATATATATATATATATATATATATATATATATATATATATATATAGATAGATAGATAGGTAGATAGATAGATAGATATGAACAGACTGTGATAGATAGATAGATAGATAGATAGATAGATAGATAGATGAGACAGACTGGGAGATAGATAGATAGACTGATATGAACAGACTGAGATAGATAATATAGATAGATAGATATGTATAGACTGACATAGATAGATAAATGAAGATATGAACAGACTGAGATAGATATGAACAGACTGAGATAGATAGATAAGATAGATAGAGCAGACTGAGATAGATAGATAGATAGATAGAGATAGATAGATAGATATATGAACAGACTGAGATAGATAGATATGATAGATAGATAGATAGATAGATATGAACAGACTGAGATAGATAGATAGATAGATAGATAGATATGAACAGATTGAGATAGATAGAGAGATAGATAGATAGATGTGAACAGACTGAGATAGATAGATAGATGATAGATAGATAGATAGATATGAACAGACTGAGATAGATAGATAGATAGATAGATAGATAGATAGATAGATATGAACAGACTGAGATAGATAGATAGATAGATAGATAGATAGATAGATAGATAGATTAATATGAACAGACTGAGATAGATAGATAGATAGATAGATAGATAGATAGATAGATAGATAGATAATATGGACAGATTGAGATAGATAGATAGATAGATAGATAGATAGATAGATAGATATGAACAGCCTGAGATAGATAGATAGATAGCTATGAGCAGACTGAGATGGATAGATATGAACAGCCTATGAACAGACTGAGATAGATATGATATGAACAGACTGATATATATATATATATATATATATATATATATATATATATATATATATATATATATATAGATAGATAGATAGATAGATAGATATGAACAGACTGTGATAGATAGATAGATAGATAGATAGATAGATAGATAGATATGAACAGACTGAGATAGATAGATAGACTGATATGAACAGACTGAGATAAAATAGATAGATAGATATGTATAGACTGACATAGATAGATAAATAGATATGAACAGACTGAGATAGATATGAACAGACTGAGATAGATAGATAATGAGCAGACTGAGATAGATAGATAGATAGAGAGATAGATAGATAGATATGAACAGACTGAGATAGATAGATAGATAGATAGATAGATAGATATGAACAGACTGAGATAGATAGATAGATAGATAGATAGATATGAACAGATTGAGATAGATAGATAGATAGATATGAACAGACTGAGATAGATAGATAGATAGATAGATAGATATGAACAGACTGAGATAGATAGATAGATAGATAGATAGATAGATATGAACAGACTGAGATAGATAGATAGATAGATAGATAGATAGATTAATATGAACAGACTGAGATAGATAGATAGATAGATAGATAGATATGGACAGATTGAGATAGATAGATAGATAGATAGATAGATATGAACAGACTGAGATAGATAAATAAATAAATAAATAGATTGAGAAAGAAGCTAATACGTTTGTATGGTAACTCTATAGACTCTCAAGTAGAGTTTAGACATTTCAACTCCTTATGGGTCAATAATGCCGAAATTTAATTTCTGGTGGAGCATTAGTAATTTCTTTTACAAAAATCTATTGCTAGTAATATCTTTTTTTTCCCTTACAAATATCTATTGCTGGTAATATTTTAAAAAACTTTCTTCTTAACAAAAAAATATTGGTAATCTTTTTACTATGAAAATTTATTTTTATACTTTCATAGTATCTTGACTTCATTTTTGTGGTTTACTATTTGCCCATAGCTGGACACTCACAGGTGCTGTCACCCCGGGTCAGGATGGACCTGAGAACAACAGCAAGTAAGAGGTGGCTCCACGTTCCTCACGCCACCGCTGATTAGAGTCTTTGCCGCCCAATGAGGTTTATCGTCATAACCAAGATATTTTAACGCTATGGTCTCTCCGCGCTTTGTGTTCATGCTATTAGTTCAGTATCGAGTACGTTTTACGGGGGTGAAGTTGTTCGTCTAACAAGTTTTTCTTTCTCCTAGAGTTGTTGCCGACTAAATCTAGAGAGATCAATTAGCCCTGATACTTAACCTGCACTTGATAGGCGGGAATAAAAACAAAAAACGTATTCTTACCTTTTCAGAGAGTATTTGTGCGAAAGGGATCGTAACAGTTTCGGCTGGAATTCAAACTCAACACGCTAATCCCACTTTCTGAGCTGATAACCGTTACGCCTCACGCACATTCAATGAATAATACTACCACCATTAAAATAAAGGTGTTGACTAATAATAATAATATTCCTACCAATAAAATAATAACAATTTGTCTGGGTAGAGAGGGTAATCACTTGAAGTTTGTGCAAACGATGCTTGGTATGGCGAACATCTGGAGCGAAAAGAGCATATTTTACACTTTTTTGCAATTCTTTCTCATAAACTCGGTGTATTTATCCGAGACCTCCCTACAAGGCCAGTTTTTAACATTGGGCTTTCCGATCGAGTTCGCTAAGGCAAAAATTCCCCATAGACACCGCATACACGGGGTCGAGTGGCAGTCTATTTTTTCCCAGAAGAGGCTCTGCCCATAGATATAGCCTCGTCTGAGTTCCTTTCCGCTCGAAAGCAGAGAGAGTCCTACAAGCTGAGCTTTGATGTACTGCTTCTCTTGCCTTCCATATATATCGTGATTGTTAAATTCTGTTGACCCTCTTTCCGCATTATTTGTTCCAGTAATTTAATCTGTCTCTGATTTTAAGAGTAGGTTTCCTTGTTTCGATTTTCCATAAGATTTCTTCATTGCTCATATGTCTTGTTCAAGGCATTCTATGCATTTGTCGGTAAAACTAAATTTCTATCGCATCAAGTCCGAGGAAAGTGTCTACTGTTCGTTGATATAAGTGACGAGATATTACATAGCATTAAATATAACTCACAGTTTTGGTTCTAGCAGTATTCTATATCGGAATGTTTTCTTTATTTTATGGAAAACATATTTTTCTATTTCTCTGTTCCTCCAGATTTATGTCGTCTGTTACTATTCCAGCTGGATAGTTTAATTGCTGTGCCTGTTTTGTTTTGACATCCCCAATGTGTATCTTATATCTTGAGCCGCCTCTTTTGCTGACAACCACGAATTCTGCCTTCTTACATTTAATAGCTAGTCCATTATTCTTGCTATATAGATAGCGATTAAAGCTATGGTCTCTCCGAGAGTTTAAAAGTTCCTTCATAGAAAAAATAGCTAGATAGATTAAATTGTCTTTCAAGAAAGCTTTGACAATTACTGAAATAAAATTGCTTTTTCGCAAACAAACTTACGTATTTGGTACATTTGCTTGTGTTCTATGCCATTGTAGGGTTAATGAGATATAAAGGGGTGTGTATATGTATGTATGTATATGTGTATTATGTATGTATGTATGTATGTATGTATGTATGTATGTATGTATAAAGATATGAACAGAACTTCTAAAAGTTCTTTCCGTTTTCTTCATATAAGAACATGGAATAATGAAAACTAGAATTAATGTGTTAGTACCATCGACATTGCTTCTACGATTTCTTTTATTTCTTTCATGTGAAGTGTTTAAAACTTTTGCAGAAAGTTCTTCTTCTATGTGTCGTTTTCCTTCAGGACGTTGGAGATCATGGCTCTCCACAATTTCCTGTACTTTGTAGCTCTTAATAAATTTTGTTATCTCTTCTAAACCTTGTTTCGTCATCCATTTACTCAAGCTCGCTGGGTAGGTTATACATTGTTTTTCTCTGTCCCTTTTGCCTTCAATCTGTTCCGTGAGTATCTAGTTTTCTAAGCCCTCTTTCCTCTTTATGTTAAGTATAAGTGTCCTTTTTGTTTCCATTTTCTCTAAAACTTTGTCGTTGCTCACATGTTCGGTCCACTGTATTCTTGGCATCCTTCTCTAGAGGCACGTTTTTGTTGTTCAAGTCTCTTCATTTGTGTCGTATTACATAAAATATCAGTACTATTTCTTTTTGTTTCTAACGAAATCTTTCTGTTTCTTATTAGTTTGCTTAGCTTTTGGAAGACATTTTTCGCTATCCCAATGCGATTTGGATTTCCGTGTCGAACTTTCCGTTCTTTTATAAAACACTTCCCAGATATTTAAATTGTTAATCAAAACTATTTTTAGTTATTTGGAAATGTAAAGAGTCCTAGTGAATATTTAGAGAACACTGAATGTTCACATTTTATTCCAAGTATTTTGAGCGAGCATTTTAATGCTAACTTGATTGTATAAAAGTGGACGGTTTGCCGTAGAAAAGCACATTACCTTTGGCCACTGACCGATAAAGAATCGTTTCATTTAACGCTACACCCAAAATTGCTCCCATCAAATAGTCTAGTGATTCGAGTGCCTGTAAATACTTCACCAGATGTCACAGACGTCTGCTATTCTGTTTATTGCATGATCAACATACGAATTTAAACTGTCTCCAATCATGTGTTTATGCAAAAGGCGTTATCAAGAATTACTCAGTGCTTTCATGAAATATGATCTAGCCGCATGTGATTACTACCGACGTTCAGTATAACGGTCTCCTTACATTGCAAATGTATAATTCCGTCCAAGAGAAATTGGTTATTTTGAACTCTTCGCGGGTAAACACTTGAGCAAACTCTATTTCTTTGAACGAATTTCTTCATTTTCGTTTCTGATTTATCATATTTCAACATCTATTTAGAAGAAGAGACTTGAAGCAACAGAAATGTGGTTCTACAGAAGGATGTTGAGAATATCATGGATTGAACATGGTAGCAACAAGAAAGTTTTAGAGAAAATGGACACTTCTACTTAAGGTCAAGAAGAGACAGTTGAAATTTATAGGGTACATAATGAAGAAAGACAGCTCCGAAAATTTGATATTCACAGACAAGAGGGAAAAAGGAAAATAACGCATAACGAGCGAACTTGAGTAAATGGATGGCGGAACAAGGTTTGGGAGAGATCTGAAAAAGACAGAATTTATTGAGGGCTACAAAAGACATGGAATTGTGGAGAGTCATGATCGGCAAAGTCCAGAATGGACACCGCGCATAGAAGAAGTTATTTGATCGTTATGGACATCCATATAAAATTCCTCATATGTAGTGATATATATATATATTATATATGAGTGCGTGTATATGTGTGAAATTGTCGTATTTTAAGACAATTGGCGTTTATTTTCTTCCGGGATTTTCGATTTTAATTATTAAGGACATTTGTGGACAATATTTATAGTTCTAGACGTGTACATCGTTCATGAGAGAAAAATGTATATATGTTCCATGAATTATTTAAATTTCTATATGCGCGTCTCTGTGTGCGTGCGCGTGCATATATATATATATATATATATATATATATATATATATATATATATATATATATATATATATATATATATATGCCTGTACGTGTGTTATTTAAAATTTGTTATATTTATAGGTGTTCAGTATTGTAGAGAGAGCGTTTATAGAATTAGAGAGTTAGTGTAAATATAGGAACCAACACTACATCGAAACTGTCAGTTTCACGCCTCATTCCGATCTTCTGGTCAAGATTTCCTTTTTGGTTGCACTATATATATATATATATATATATATATATATATACTGGACCTCCATCATCCATGAACCACATGCGTCTTCATATTAGCAGGAGTACATCCTCTAGCAGGCCTGGAAGTGTGTTCAAAATAAGGTCCCTGTAGACAGCTCCTGTAAGACGCGCTGGGAGAACACATGGATCTACCATACCTACAATTCCAGCCCACGCATTAATCGTAAACTGATGCTGGTGTCTAGCCTCTTATTGCACCATGGGGATTGAAGTACCCTTTATGCGGTACTGTAAGACTCAAAACATGGTTGGGCCACTTGATGTGTGCTGATACCTGGACCGTCTCCGACAGCCTGTAGAATGGGTTCTTCGTGGTCAGGTGTACGAGTAGATCTCGGTCTTCCGTCATCCATAGTTTGTGGTGTCACGGATCCTGTCTCAGCAACGTGACAATAAACACCCGCAAAGGTTGGATGACGCGGCTGCCTTCGGTTTGGAAACGCAATATGATACAGCCGTGCAGCCTCGCGTCCATTATAATTCGTGCGGCTATATGTAAAATCATATCTGCTTGCCCACGATATGAATATCCTACCATTGTTAAACGGAGCACTTCTGTTAACTCACTATTACACACGTGAAACGGTGAAGATAGACTACCCACGAATGTACATGAATGACAAATGTAACCTAGTCTACATGGAAACGCAGCGCCACCTCTCGTAAACTTTCTTTAAATTTAATAACTCAAAAAGGAAGGATTTGCGGACATATGTTTACTTTTGTCCTTGTTTTGGTGTGAGGAAACCACCCCCAAAATTTGTAAAAGTATTTTTGATACACCATATATATATATATATATATATATATATATATATATATATATATATATATATATGTATGTATGTATGTGGGGTCCATGTCTGTAGATATATTCCTCCAATTAGAACATTATTTTAACCTGACGAAGTTATTTTGAAAGAAGAAACGCATCGCATAGAATCTTTTTCATTTTGCCATTCAAAAGTCGAATAATGAGGAAAGAGTGCTTGGAGAATTTGACACTGACTTTGCATATTGGAAACAAGAGGCTCAGAGGGAAATAGCAATTGTTCTATGTAACGAGTCTGTGTAAAGGAAATGGCAGAACAGAACCTGAGAGGGATAGTAAAGAGACTAACAATTATTAGAGTTACCAATCACAGGAAGTTGTGGAGCGTCATGATCGACCATTTCCTGAAGGGACATGACGCGTGAAAAAAGTGCATTTGGAAACGCCAGAAAATATCTTTATTCCAATCATATAATGAAGACATAATGAAATTTGTCGCTACACTTTAAACAGGTTCACACTTTTTTCTGTCCTAACAACGCATACTTTACGATTAGTTCCCAGCTACAAGCTACAAAATATGGCAAATCATAAAGCGACACACCATTAATTGTTATAAGGTTTACACTCATGAAACAAGAAAATCGAACCGGATTTGTGGCTGAAATGTTCAGAATAGAACCCGTAAATTTTTTTTTTCAATTATTTGTTGAAAGCAAATCACTGAAAATGCGGCGAAATCTTCATCCGGATTATTGTTTAAAACCTTTATTCGAATTTTATGTGTTTCATTATTAAAAAGGGAAAAGTTATTGCCAATATTTTGGGAAATGTTAACTTATTTTTCTCTTTAAATGAAAAAAACAAAAAAAAAAAAAAAAAACCAGCCAAAAATACCACACCAACTAAACTTTGCTTTGCTCCTAGCAACAATCAAAGTTTTATGATTACGATCAAGAACAACGAGGTTCGCGTAAACATGATATTTCTGCAATGAAAAAAGGTAAA